TGCTGTTGAAAAATCGTTATATGAAAAAGAAAATAAGACATTATAATTAACTATATTAAGCGGAATGGTGTTTGAATATTTACTGCTAATGATATGCTAATGACAATATTTTCACTTGCCTTTTAATACAAGAGGGTTTTTTTCTTTTGATCGACAGTCGAATTTTTTCATTCAAACCCTCGTTAATCTTGCAATGTTTCTGAAAAATCTCACGCATATTTCTCTAACTATAATAGATATATACATTTTTAATCCGTATTGGGACCGATTACACTGCTTGCTCCAGGCCCAGGTTTAATACAAAGATACCGCTTGATAATGATTCCGTTGTTGGCATTTTTTTTTTTTTTTTTTTTTTTTGATATTCTCTTATATATATGCTTTATAATATTGTCGAATATTGTTATTGCTTCCATGCAAAACAAATTGTCTATTTCAGAAACTTTATTCCCTAATAGGCCGATCATTAAGAAAAGGTTTCTTAAATACTAAATATTTATTGAAAAACAAACAAAAATTTTAAATTATCAGAAAAGATAATATAAGAAAAAAAAAAAAAAAATTGTCAAATTTCTTCGGAAAAACCTACTCATGTACACCACTTTTTCATTTATCATATATAATAGGTAATTTTATGGTGATTTAAAACAATATATGTATATGAAGATATATGCATGTATAAAAAAAAGGATAAATAATAAATTTTGAAAATTGTTAAGCTGAAGAAAAAATTAAAATCCCTAAGAGTATAGTGTAAATATAAGACGCATTTTTAAACAAATGATTAGAACTACTATTATCACCTTTACGATCACTAATCGAACCATGAGGTATTTCGTTATCTTCTTCATTAGGCAGTAGATTTGTTTCTTTATCATTATGCTGAAGTTCAATTTCTTCTAAGGATAAGGTAATGGCTTCGTTAATTGTCCTTAATAAAGGATAATTATTATTCATGCGGGGTGGGCTATGAATATTGGCGCTTTTCAAATACTTATAGTCCTCGTAGATATCACTTTCAGGATCACATTCTCCTAAAAAATCATCTGTATCTATGGACCAAACCATGAGCCCAGCTAAATTTCTCTCCATAGCAAATTTCACTTTATTAGCGATGGTACGAGAATTGTCGAATGTAACGACCTGAACTAGACCGGAAAAGATATCTTTTTCGGAACGTGCCAAAACTTGAGATGTTTCCGGATCCCACATTGTAGTCCAACCTGAGGTCTTATTACTTAAAATTCGGCAAATTTCATTGTAGCCCAAGAAACCATCCTCGCGAGTAAATGGTCCTTGAAAAGCGGTTCCGTCTGTTTCATCGTCCAAATTTCCATCTAAAGCGGTTTTAAAAGTGCGCCCATAGAACGGTACACCCATAACAATTTTCTCAGCGGAAGCACCCAGTTTTAATAGATAATCTATGGTGAATTGCTGTAGCAAAAGGTGAAAAAGGATTTGAAACTTTATTTAATTTTTCTTTAAGTACGAGCACTTACCACGCTCAAAGGATCGCCATTTGGGGCCGTTAGAGGAGCATTGTAGCCTACTTTCCGATCCCAACTGCCGTGATAATCGTAACACATGATGTGCAAAAAATCTAAATATTTGGATATCTGCTTGACATCGTACGCCTGATCGATAACATTTTTAGCTGCCCCTATGGCTGAAGTTAATAATAAGCCATGACTATTAAATTGCTCTCTCAACTCTTTCGCAAGTAATACAAAATTATCACGATCTTTAGGTGCACCACCGCGTTGTGTAGGATACTCCCAATCCAAATCCAAACCATCAAAATTATATTTACGTATGAATGAAGTGACATGTTGCACAAATTTCCCTCTAGTAACAGGATCCGAAACCATGTTTGAGTAATTTTTTGAGCCTTCGTTCCATCCACCAATTGCCAGACTAACCTTTAGATGAGGATAATTACGTTTTAATCCTGTTAAGCGTTCGTAACCACCTTTCCCGTATTCTGCTTTCAAATCTTGCCAAGGGTCTTTAATGGCCAAAGAATAGAAAATTTGCATAAAAAATTTTTGATCCTTCGTAACTATTATATAATAAAATTACCCAAAGATTTAATAGCGGATTGGATCGGATCCAAACCAGCGAAGGCATATACCACGTGCGAACATAAACTGGGATCAAAATTGTCTATGGAATAAGCACCATGGCCAGGACGATAAACGGCCCACGTTGAAATATAACAAACAACTACTTTGTCGTGTGCGGGCCCTATAGGAAAATTTTTAAATGAAATAAAATAAAATTTAAACTTTGAATACATACATATACATACCGGTTGAAAGGTCAAATTCATTAAGTGCTTATCAATTTTGACATACGCACTTAAATTTTACTTTTCAACCGCCATCGTTATATACATAAGTATAAGTATGTGTTTATTTCATATTTTTTGTTCGTCTTTGCCTATATAACCCTTATTTTATGTGAGTAACATTATGATGTAATAACATCAGTATATTTATTTACCTGTTTTAGCTTCCGTATCCATTATGTAAAGAAAGGAAGCCACTAAAAGTATGAAAAATAATCTGTTTCCTGGTTGCCAGGTCATCTGCAAAATATAGACACGTGTAAGTGACGGAATCCATATAGACTCATATAGATAAATACATATATATATAAATAGCGGGACTAGTGCAAGACTTATTGGACGAAAACGCAACTGAAAACTCTCGCAGAATTTCCAAACACCTTAGCAATTGATGCTTTAAGAATTTCGAAACGTTCACATGCGACTGTAAATTCTTAAAAGGAGGGAAAATAGCCACTATATGAATTGATGGAAAATGCTACTAGAAACCGTTTCTACATCGCGATTTCATAGGTTGCCAGACAAAAAGAAGAATTTTTGTATTGCGATTAGGCGATTGACGATAAAAAGTGGGTCTGTTACGATAATGTCAAGCCTAATAAATTCATAGGTTGCTCGAAGAGAGCCATCCATATCGACACCGAAGTGTCATATTCATAGCCATAGAGTGTTGCAGTGCATATGGTGCGACCACCAAGCTGTAGTGTATTACAAGGTGCTAAACACGAATGAAAATGTTATTGCAGTTGAAAAAATTCAAAGACGTATTGTTGCAAAAAAGAGCAGCATTAGTGGTTAACAGACGAAAAGTCATCCTTTTGCTTGACAACGCACGGTTATGCACGTTGCCGCATCCAGCGAACTCACCGGACATTATGCTCAGATCGATGCAGCATGGATTAGCTGGCATGCACTTCCGCAAAGTTGTCGAAGTGCGAAAGTCCGTCAATGATTCGACCGCTGTCGGACAATGCCTTTCTTTCAATACCGTAAGGCCTTGTTGGCAGAAAGATGGGAAAAAAATTGTAGAAAATGATGGCAAATATTTTGATTTATACATACTGTATCAATTTTTCTGTGTAAATGACTTTTTCAAAAGAAAAAGTGATCAGAATACATGCAAGAACCTGTTAATTAGAACAAATACTTTCCCTACTTGCTTCATTACACGCGAGCTTATGATCTAAGTTATCCGGGAGCCTTTAAAATCAATACAATTGTAAATTTATTTACAAAATACGTAGACAATTAATGGACAAATTTTCCATACTTGCTTACTTGCTTACTCATTGGCAGAATTGAAAGGAGAAAAAAGAATTCGCTATATTGGCATTGGCGTGAAATGTGGAACGTGAACAAGAAATCTCTCAAAGACAAGTGTTCATATGGTAAATGGTACGAAGGAGTGTTCATTTATAAAAGATCTTAGGCAGCAATGATCAAAAGCACACATATGTATACACATATATATATATCAGCAGTTGCTTACAAGAAAGCATTTCTTCTAACGGGAAAACTAATGACTTGACTTACAATGAAAATGGAAGAAGCTCTCTCACAATCTATTATCCTCTTGTAAATGATATCTAAACGCGAGATAAACGGATTATTGTAACCACTATCTATTGTCCTTATTTCTAGTCCAAATTGTGTCGCATAGTATTCTTCTCTGTTTCCATCTTATGCTAACAACTAAGGAATACAGATTTTCGAGTAAGGATTTTAAAATAGACTGTAAAATTCATAATTATCTGATATATAAGATTTTATCAGATTTATTATAGAATCGAAGCAAGCGATGTAATTTTTTTTGCATCCAAAAAATTAAAAAAAACTCTTCGTAATGTTTTTATCAATTATTACCAAGTATTTAAGCCGATAGCCTTAGATGCTAGTGCTTTTAAGAGTTTAGTCTTAGAATTTATTTCTCTGGCGAAATTAATAATAATAATAATAATAATAATAATACCAAGAATTTACTTTTCTCTCTACGAAGAAAGTATTTTATTATTTTGTGTAATAAGCGACAAATAATGATTAGGTCCCTAAAGAATAAGGGAAGAAGCTTACTGTTATTAATACGCACAAAGGTGTTTTCGTATCTATATAAAATTGAAAACATTTGTAATCTAAATGAATTAAGCATTACGTTTGACACAAAAACAATATATTATATGATTCATTATGCACAAGTAACATTTCCCTATCTCTTACAAGACGTACTGGTCATTCATTATATGAGGGAGAGCGTTACTATGGCTATGTGTGTATACGTGATCATGGCATCATTTACTTGTTACTTATAGTAAATATAGTAATTGCAATCAATAATTTAAGTTAAAATATTTTTTTAATTACAAGGCAGAAAGTTGTTTTACTCATTTTATTCTAATATCCGTCAACTTATATTGTTTTTATTATTCTATCGAGTAACGAGATATGAAGATGCATTAGAGATTTGACCATATGTAAAACATGAAAGCAAGTATTTGAAATATATTTTATATAATATCTTTAATCAGCGTATTACATCCAATCATAATCTGATTAGAATATTTATTAAAGTTGTTTTGCAAAGTTCTACTTGTAATGAGTAAAAATAAGTTGCTTAAGGAGACGACCGTTTATGATTTGGATTTGATTATTTTATACAAGTGCATATCGAACTAAGGCAAACGAAATTACAACACTTTACGTATGAGATGTCATGTAAGTGTAAGCTATGCATTGTAATACTTAAATACGATAGCAAAAAGGTAACGTACGTTCATGTAACATGCGTCACGAATAACGCACAAACGTAAACTTAATAAAATTATGAAAAGAGAAAATTCAAAAAAAAAAGCAAGCTTTAAAAATAGCTTTAAATAAAGGCAATTTTTTCGCAAATTATAAGCGAAATTAATGGAGACGGATTCAGCCACTCAGTCCGATAAAGAATCGATTAAGTTTTTGGAACCTACGATTCGCATTTCATTAACAAGAAAATTAAAGATAGAAAGTTATCGATTCGACGACATAACTTACGGTCGCAGTTTGCTTCCGTCACCGCTAGTCGCTAGTCAAAAAAGAAAATAATATATTTTTGTGTTATAGTTTTTGTATCAAATTTGATATTTAAAAATTAAAAAAAAAAATTCTTTCGACTGCCTTGTCACTTGGGACGTCTCTTTAATGCTGCCGAGAATACGCCATTTATTCATATTTGTTATTTTATATATAGAACTGCGTTACCTCTTAATAAAAAAAAAACAAAAAAAAAGATGATAATAGAATTACAAATGAACGAAATCATTTTCGATTGAAAAACAAAATCATTAAACGCTTTTTCAATAAATACGATAATGATTTAAGAAATTCCAGTAGAGATGCACATCTCCTACATTTCCATCCTATTCTTGCGAAGCTCTATAGCTAATAGCTATTTTCCCTATTGATTAACTAGAAATATTCTTCCCAAAAATGTGTGCAAACAAAATTGCTGATCTGCGGCGTTTTTTTACAAAGTCTCCGCATGTTGTATTTGTTGTTTTATAACGATCTGTTTCAATTTCATTTCACTTTCCAACTTATTTGAATTTATCAATTTAATGAAAGCGAACCACTCCACGTTTTAATGACGTTTGCATAAAAATCGCCTATTTACGGTCGCGGTGTCTCTAAATATATATATATATATTTTAGCGGCATTATAATTACATTGATTGTTCTCGACTTAGAAGCGTCGCGCATTTTTCTTATAATACGAGATTAACTATAAAATTGAGATTCATTTAAGTTTGAATCAATGTACGATAATAACAATTCTTTCAGGTACCTCCATTACACATGCCAAGACGTTTGAATTTACAGAAATTTAAATAATTAAATTTCAATTAATTTCATTGAATTTTGTTTTTTCTTTTTTTTTTTTTTTTTTTTTATGTGACTAAAAACTGCACTTTTTTATTTATATATTTACTCTTGTTTTACTCTATTCACTAGGATTTGAAAATTACATGTACAGAGACGAAGGGACAGACACCCGCAAACATAGGCAAAAGTAAATTGAAATATAATTTGAAAAGTTAATGCACGCAGCAATAAAAAAAAAAAAAATTTTTTCATTAGTTGACTGTGGGGAAGAGTTAATTGTGAGTCGCTCATTCAAATAGTTTAAAGTATTTTGCGAGCTTGAGCCAACGCCTTAATTGAATGCTTTATTATCCTATAGTTTAATTTTACGTTTACAAAAAAAAAAAAAAAAAAAAAAAAACCAGCAGGCATAAGAAAGTGAAAGAACATAAACTTAAATGTTTTCATGCTTGCTTCTGAGATTCTCAGTTACCTTTTAATACTTATTAATGCGTTGAGTCAATTTATATTTCTTACCAATCAATGATAATTTCGCTTTTCAACTAATTGCGAAGACTTCGCATAACACCATTTCAACTGTTCATTAAAAATAAGTTGTTCAAACAAAAAACAAAACAAAAAAAAAAGAGAAATAAAAATAAATAAAAAAAAAAGAGTTAACGTTAAACACTTATATAGACAAGAACAACCAAAGCGAATATATTAAAAAACCGGAATGGTACTCAACGTCATGTACATAAATATGAGAAACTCTTTTTCTTTCTTCCTTTTTTTTTAATACTTATTTAATGAATATGAATGGGCTGTGCTGCATGAACTAAACGTCGTCTCTCTGCCTATACGAAATATTTGAAAAGCAACATGATTTTCTACTACGAAACACATAATAATAATATCCAGCCAATGAAGCTCTTGCTCTTTATATCTACTTCTTGCAATAACTTGTTATTCTTTTATGCATACACGCTCTTAACATTACAACGCACACATTAACACAAACTCAAAGTACGCACGCGTAAACGAATTATGTTAATATTGCGTTTTTGCTTTATTGAATAAAACTTACTTTTGATTTTTACTCTTCGTTTCTTATGAAATATTTTATACTTAGATTATTAAATTTT